ATGATGATGATGATGATGATGATGATGATGATGATGATGATGATGATGATGATGATGATGATGATGATGATGATGATGATGATGATGATGATGATGATGATGATGATGATGATGATGATGATGATGATGATGATGATGATGATGATGATGATGATGATGATGATGATGATGATGATGATGATGATGATAATGTTCGATGATAAATGATACTTGACAGAGGAGTGTCGTTTGCGGAGATCATGTACAGGCATGCAGGATTGGACTACAAGCAGAGGTGAAGTGTGATTCTAGCGTCGACAACTTGCTCCACACCTCTTGACACGACAACCAAACAATCAAACAGGTGGTCGTTGTTCAAACTGTCAAGGAACCACGACAAGGAGATGGAGGTGAACATTCTTATCAGAGATGTCTCTACAGCACTCGTTGACTATTTAGTCGCTCCGCCAGTTGTTCAGGAGGGCAAACGTGACGGCAGAGTATGCATTCTTCCACGACGACCCGACCAGGAACTTTGTCATTGATCGCTCCTACGTCCGAGAGTCCCTTATGGTCTAACTTCCTTCTCATTCTCCTCCCTCCACCTGCAGCCATCCTCCTCCTTGTCCTTTTCCTTGTCATGGTCCTTGTACTTTTCCTCCTCCTCCTCCTCCTCCTCCTCGTCCTCCTCGTCCTCCTCGTCCTCCTCGTCCTCCTCTTCCTCCTCCTCTCCTTCCCCTTCATCTACCATTCACCCGCTTCACAATCTTACGATTCCTCTTCTTTTCATCAGATCTTCCATCCCAACGAGGGGGAGAGGCTTTCCAATAACATCTTCGACTACAGCCTGCTCATGTTCGTCTGCTCTTGTTGAGGTAGCCGCTGACCTGTCTCTTGTCCAGCGAGAGGGCCTCCGAGCTACACCTCATGGACAGTTCCTTTGCTCTCCTCGCTGATTACCTTGACCTCTCCCACGTGTCTCGAAAGGTGCTGGACACGAATATGTCCCCTCTCCTTCATCTTCATCCTCCTCCTTCCACCTTTTCCGCTCCTACCTCCAACCTCCTCCACCTTCCTCCTCCTTCAACCCCTTCCGTCCTCTCCTGCATCTCTACCCCACGTGCCGTGGACTCGAATACTCTTTCGTCCTCTCCCCTCCTCTCCTCTCCTCTCCCCTCCTCTCCTCTCCTCTCCTCTCCTCTCCTCTTTCCTCAGCGTCTCTGATCAAGCTCAAGGTGATTCACGTCTACGCGCGTCTCAACCACGATGGGAGTCCATCCGTGACGTCGCAGCAAGATTTGTATCAGCATGTAATTCTGCTTCTGCCCCATCTTTCCCTCTTCTCCCTCTACTTCACTTCCGCTCCCCTCGTCGTTGCCGATGATTTCCCTCCTCTTTCCTTCCCTCCCGTGCTTTCCAAGTAAACTCTTCCTCAGGACTGGGAGCTCCTTCACAGTCCCATCAGCCACCAGCTCGTCGACATTCACGTCGTTCATCCAGCCGACGGCGCCGTCATCGTGGCTGGCAGGATGGTCAGTGAGGACGACACTGCGCCGGAGGATCAAAAGATCACCATCGCCATCTCCGACTTGGCTCCTGTACGCGTCACCTTCCTGACCTCGTTCGCTTCCTCCTCCTCCCCCCCCCTTCTTTTCCCCCTCCTCCTCCCCCCCTCCTGTTCCGTCCGCTCCTCTTTTCCACCCTTCTTCCTCCCTCCTCTCCCCTCTCTTCCCACTCTCTCTTACCATGAATTCTTGCTCCCCTGCTCCTACTCCTCCCTTTGCCCCCTCCTCCACCTCTCCTCCACCTCTCCTCCACCTCTTCTCCTCCTCTCCTCCTCCTCTCCTCCTCCTCTCCTCCTCCTCTCCTCCTCCTCTCCTCCACCCTCACCTCCTCGACCTCCTCTCACACAACCCTAGATGCCGCCGCTCTCTACCATCCTTCTCTTCGTCGATGGTGTTCAGGTCGCAGCCGTCGGGACTCTGGAGCGAGCTGACAAGCTTGCTTCGAAGGTCTCGAGGATCCAGCTAGAGCCGAGCAGCGAGACGTACAGGAAGGGGAGATGCGAGATGAGAGGCACAAACAAGTTTGCGGCTGCTTGGGAGGGAGTGACAGTGAGGCAGTTGACGGGGTCGTTCACCAGCTGTTCTCCCTGCACAATCACTGCGAGTTGGACATATTCTATAATAAGGTGAGAAGAGACGACGATGATGGAGACGATGGAGATGATGATGATGATAATGATGATGGAGGTGATATGATGATGGAGATGATGATGCTGATGGAGATGATGATGATTATGATGATGATGGAGATGATGATGGAGATGATGATGATGATGGAGAAGATCATGATGATGATGGTGGTGGTGGTGGTGGTGGTGGTGGAGATAGAAATGGAGGTGATATGATGATGGAGATGATGATGATGGAGATAGTGATGGAGGTGATATGATGATGGAGATGATGATGATGATGATAGTGATGGAGTTGATATGATGAAGGAAGTGTTGATGAACTCCCTGAGCGTCTTCACTTTCGTCATGACTTACGTCTTGATGAAGTTCAGAGAAGGAGTACACGTTGTCGAAGCTCTCCTGAATACTCCAGTCCGGTAGACCTCCTCCTTCCACTGTTCCTCATCGTCCTCATCCTCGTTGTCTTCCTCCTCCTCGCCCTCCTCCTCTTTCCTCTTTTTCTCCTTCAAGTTGCTCCTGTCGTTCTTATCCGCGTCTTCTTTCATTGTCTGTGAATTCTCTTTCCCCCTTCTCTTCTCCATCTACCTTCTGGTATCAATCTCCGCGTGCAGCTCGTCAGTCGATCGTTCAGCTCGGGTGAAATTTCGGGTGGTCGGAGAAGCGAACGAGGAGGTGGCAGCTCCTGAAGAATTTATCCGATGACACAATGAACAGGAGGAGGAGTCGAAGCAGCAGATGCGAGCGGCTCAGACACACGGGATGGAGGAAGGGAGAGATCAGGGGCAGGGGCAGGAGCAGGGGCAGGGGCAGGGGCAGGGGCAGGAGCAGGAGCAGGTTGGGCTTGCTTCCCCTACGATTTGCCCTGCGAACTTCAGCGCGGGAGTTCTCGAGGTCCCGATGTCAAACGGGGAAGCGCTGGACAAGCTTTCTATCCTTGAGATCAAGATGAAGAAGATGGAGAAGACTCCTAAGATCTACCATGTCCGTCAGGTCCGTCGGCGCCCTCCTCCTCCTCCTCCTCCTTCCTCCTCCCCTCCTCCCTCCTCCCTCCCTTCCCTTGCAACGTCGACATCTTGTCATCAACCTCCTCCTCGTCTCCCCTCTCATTCCTCTTTCCTTCTCCCTGATGCCTATCGTTTTCTTCCCCCCTCGTGTTCGATGTACTTATCGTCCTCGTCCTCGTCCCTCGTCCCTCTTCGTCCTCGTCCTCCGATTTCTCATGATCCAGCAGGAGTTCGAGCTCCTCCTGACGAAGGTGGAAGAGGAACTCAAAGGAATGAGGGGAAGCGAGCTATACCGCAGCCTCCTCGCGGTTAACTCAAAGTTGTGGGAGGTAGGACGTCCTGTTTCACCTTTTCACTCATGATGTGATGCTGATGATGGAGATGATGGAGATGATGTTGATGGAGATGATGATGATGGAGATGATGTTGATGGAGATGATGTTGACGACGACGACGATCGAGACTTTCGGGTTTGATATCGATCATTATGACGATGGTTGAAGATTGAGGACGCTGTCCGAACACATGAAGCAAACAAGGTATTCGTCCACTCTGGTCCATCCTTATCCTTATCCTTATCCTTATCCTTATCCTTATCCTTATCCTCATTCTTGTCCTTGTCCTTGTCCTTGTCCTTGTCCTTATCGTTCCCCTCAGTTGATCGCTCCTGCGGTTTTCTTGTCATGTCCTTTCTTCCTTCTTCTCCTCTTTCTCTCTATCCTCCCCCTCTCCGTCTCCTTCGCTCCACTTCTTCCCGCCTTCGTTTGCTGATCCCTTCGAATCCTCAGAATTTCGGGGAAGATTTCATTCACAGCGCCAGGAGCGGTAGGGGCTGAGTCCTCTTCCTCCTCCTCCTCCCTCCTTCTCCTCCTCCTCCTCCTCCCTCCTCCTTCTCCTCCTCCTCCGCCTCCTCCTCGTCCTCCTCGTCCTCCTTCTCCTCCTCCGCCTCCTCCTATTCTTCTCATACTTCCTGCAGTATATCGCCTCAACGATGAAAGAGCTCGGATCAAGAAGGAGATTAACATGCAGACCAGGTGCCCCAACTCCTTGACATCCTCCTTCCCCTTTCTCTTGGAACCATTCCCGTCCTCGTCCTCGTTCCCGTCCTCGTCCTCGTTCCCCTTGGAGTTTTCCTTCTCCTTCAATTCCAGTGTTCCTGACGGACTCGTTTCGAACAGTTCTAGCATTGTAGACGAGAAGTTGTATCACGAATACACTTAGTACTTGAACATCTCTGACCTACAGCCTGTGACTCTGCTGAGGCTCTCAGTTCGTGACTCCGGGCCGAGGCTTAGCGGCGTCGAAACTTTTGTATCACGTAAGGTCCCGGCGCCGTGATCGGATCCGGCCGCGCCATGACTGCCGCGAAGTGCGGTAGCCGGCCCGGCGGCGCAGGACGCTGTTGCGGCCGGGCCCGGCCCCGGCCTCTTGCCGGGGCCCGAACTTGCGGGGCCCGCCCGACGGTGGGGCCCGAACTTGCGGGGCCCGCCCGACGGTCACCAGTGACGGCCGCGCCCGGGGTTCAACGCCGGGTTCCGGTCGGAAGTTGGGATATGACGGTTACAAGTCGTTTCCATGACGGTTGCTCGGTTACCATATCCATTAGTCGTTCAATCGCAACGCTTCGCATTGTTGCTCCTCCGATTCCGAGTGGCGCCATGTCAACCCTCAGTTTTGTCTTAGGGGGTCCTAGTATGTGTATAACCACAATAAGACCCAAACAGTTTCTTAGGATTGTAGCACCATGATATGACCTGAGGATATGATATGTCATAGGCAACTGTCTTATGACCTCTGTGTCTTAGTTAAAGTCATACTAGGCATATATGATCATCTCCTATGACCTGTATATGACCAGAGTTCGTACAGGGATCATAGCAATATTCCAGCCCGCCTCACCGCAAAGTCTGAAGGAGAGCTCCCGAGAGAGAATGAGAGAATGAGAGCGAGAGAGAATGAGAGAATGAGAGCGTGAGAGAATGAGAGAATGAGAGCGAGAGAGAGTGAGAGAATGAGAGCGAGAGAGAGTGAGAGAATGAGAGCGAGAGAGAATGAGAGAATGAGAGAATGAGAGAATGAGAGCGAGAGAGAATGAGAGCGAGAGAGAATGAGAGAATGAGAGAATGAGAGCGAGAGAGAATGAGAGAATGAGAGAATGAGAGAATGAGAGCGAGAGAGAATGAGAGCGAGAGAGAATGAGAGCGAGAGAAAATGAGAGAATGAGAGAATGAGAGAATGAGAGCGAGAGAGAATGAGAGCGAGAGAAAATGAGAGCGAGAGAGAATGAGAGCGAGAGAGAATGAGAGCGAGAGAGAATGAGAGCGAGAGAGAATGAGAGAATGAGAGAATGAGAGAATGAGAGCGAGAGAGAATGAGAGAATGAGCAGAGGGAGAGCAGAGATGAGGAGGGAGAAGATAGATGAGGAGAGAGGAAAGAGCATGGTGGCATTGTCGTTGTTGAAGAAGCGTGCTACCAATCGAGAGAAAAGACACGGATGAAGAGAGAATGCAGAGCAGTTTGTGTTGCAATAAATCGAGTGATAACCAATAGACAAGAAGCAGGACACATTGGATATCGATTTGGTTTATCTCACGATGCTTTCAAGGTCTCACTGCCGTCACCACCTCAGCTCGGAGGGAGGGTCCTGATCCCCCCTTCCCTTCCTCCTCCCCAGTCACACATATTCACATCCACATTGTGTACGAATATACATTCAACGCTGCTCTTTCCAGCCGCCCCGGCGAGGTTGGGCGAATCTTTTTCTCAGGCCATGGCCTTGTCCATGGCGTCCTCGATCACGTCACAGATAGTATGAAAGTCTTCATCCTGGAACATGAGGGGAAGGCGTACATCGCACGCCCACTTGATCACTTCCTCCGTCTTAGGGAGGTGATCGAACTGAGGGATGGAATCCGCAGTGTACCTGGTGGTGAAGAATCAGCCACGAGCTGAGGGGGTTTGAGCTCCCTACCTCCAGTTGCGGAAGTAGCGCGCGTTGCTCTTGGCCCCGAAGACTTCGATAGGAACCCCGTTGGCTCCTGCTGCCTGTATGAACTTCTGGAGCTGCTCCTCCGACATTCCGTGCACGTTGAACTGCACAGAGTCGTAGACAGGAGACACCTGGAGTGAGGGGGGTGAGATTAGGAAACATGGAACTTGTGACTGCTGTCACCTCCTTGAGCTGCTTCGGGACTTTGATGTTCCGAACGGCGTTCAGCCTGGGCTCTACGATGTCGAGGTAGCGACGGTTGTACTTCTCAATCCTCTCGTCAAGAGTTGAGATCTGGTCCGGCGTTACAAACTTTCTCCTCCTCCTCCACACACAGAAATACCTGAGGGTAGATCATCGCAGCGGTCACTCCGTGCATCCTCATGGAGTAGTTAGGGATCTCGTGTTTGATCTCCTCAAAGATCTGGGAAGAGAATCAGTGGGAAATGGTGAAGCAAGCGTACTTGACCTCGTCCGCGGGTCTCAGCGAATGCTTGTGATACAACTTCTCGTAAGCTCCAGCATAGAGGATCATCTGAGGTCGAGATCAGCACTTCCGCATCCTCCCTCGAGCGCCCTCACCTTTGCCGCAAGCTCGTCGTCGTCCGTAAGGAGGAAACCTCCTTCCCCTGCCTCAAAGTCACCTACCGGCTGTCATGCAAGTTCAAACTGACCAGAGTTGAGCATCTTGTAAGACTGGCTCGAGAAACATGACATCACGCCCTTGTGCCCGGTGTGCTCTCCCCTCCAATACACCCCCAAACTGTGAGCACAGTCCTCTGCGTACAGACGTTCACGGGGCGTCTTTGTCGAGGAAAGAACCTCACCTAGAAGCACAATGCCACGATCTTTGCAGACTTGCTCAATCTTGTCCATGTCCGCTACTTTCCCACGCATGTGCGAAATCATGCAATACTTGGCACCAGTCTCATCCGCCATCTTGGCCTAAATGGCACCCATGTCAGAAATCCGCCACAAGCACGTTTACTCCAAGACTAAGAGAGAATTCACAACTCACCAGATGTTCAGGGTCCATCAAATAATTCTCAGTGCACTGAGTTCACCGTCAGATTCTTTTCTCGCACACAAGATCAACAATCTGTGCGAACCTCGACATATACAGGTTCGCATCCAGCATGCACAATAGCAGATGGAACAGCAGTGAAGGTAAATGCATTGCTGAGGACTTTGTCGCCAGGCTGCCTTGTCGTCAGAAGCTTCCATATCAGAGATGATAGAAGGAAAATCTAGAATCTATCTTTTCATGCTCACGAATATCACCTGCGCTCCCACGCACTTCAAGGACATGAAGATGGCGCTTCCACACGAGTTGAGTGCGACACAATACCTGCCAGTACATGTGTTACTCAAACGATTGATGCAGACTTTCGCATGCTTACTTGTGCCCAGTGTATTCCGCCAGCGCTTTCTCACATCGAGACACCTATTGCATGATGACGATGTGGAAGAGAGAGGGAGTAGAGTGAGCAAATGCTGTAAATTTGTTCTTACCATGCATGTGTCAGCCGAATCAGAGTTGTAACGGTAAAGGCGCCCAGTCTGATTTCAAATCTCAGTATTATTCTAACCCTGTCAGGATTGTTGTACCTTCATCAACTCCGTTGCGAGGCGAATTCCTTCCTCACTGTCATAGGACGATCAGCAACGCAGATCCGACGCTTAGTAATGAAGTTTACGGGATGGGATCAGGAGTTTTAATGCTCTTCGTGAGCTTGGCTGCAAAATGCAAGTAAGCAACAAGGAACTTGCGTGGATACAATAGATGAGGCAATGAGGAGTACAGAAGAGGCATACGGTCCTTGTACCTTGCTTGACAGCTTCTCGTTCAGGGGTGTACACCATCTTCCATCCTAGCCTTGAGGGACGAGTCCTACAAGTAGGGGAAGGCTATTGTACGAAAGGAATTAGCGGTTTGCTTGCAACAAGCTTGCCTGCACTGTCCTCACCTTGTTGTATGGTGGAGTGGCTGACTGCAGCTTCACCCCGTTGATGGATTGGAAAGCAACCGCTTGATTGAACAAGCATACAGTGGCACACAAGCAGAGCAGCTTCATGGTTTCCTGCAACTGCAGGGTTTCGTGAGTCACATGCTATCCTTTGGATCCTTGGACAATCTCTCAGAACTCGCTTTCAAAGATCAAAACAACTGTGAATGCCATGTGATGTGACAAGTCAAACATCATACACTGCCACAACACACTCCGTCTGCAAGCAAAGGGAAGGTGAGGGTAACATCGAGATTTAAGGGAGGCCATCGGAATTTTACAGCTTCGGAAACAAAAAGCAGAAGACTTTAGAGCATGGGACGAGGAGCAGATCAGTTGAGACATCTAGCACGAAGATTTCGAAGTCGAAATGAACGACAAATTCCCCTGTCTTGCATGAAATCGGACATCACACTAGCGTCAGGGTGTATTTTTACAGCTCGTCGACACCGACAACAGTCAGCAAACATTCCTATCATACCAGGGCACAACAACAGAGTTTGTCTACCTTTTCTCACAAACAAACACTCTATGGATTTAGCAGATAGTCACGAGTCTTCACACAGAAATTTTGTTCACACGATCTTATGAATCCCCTCTTGCACCTCCAACGATTTGCCTCTTCCCAAGGATCTCCTACCTCAAGTCTGATATGTCACACTACCTAGCGATAACATGCTTCCTTATGGAACAATTGTAACATCACAATCATCGATCCGCAGCTTCTCTCCCTCCTTCTTCTCTCCATCGCCTCATCGCCTCTCATGAACATTTTCCTTGCCATTGCATCTTTCTTATACCTCTACCCCTTCTCTACTCTCACATCCAAACACCAGGCACCCCACCATGTCCCAATTGATACTACCCTACCCTCCTCAGCACAAAAAGTCTACCCTACCCTTGCACATTCTCAATATGTACCTACCCCTCATCTGCAACTATCAATGACCCCTGGATTCTGCCAAAGGTGAGTACCCCACGGTACCAACTCCCTCTACGCACCACCGTCTATCTTCTACAGCTCGGGTCCGACCAGGTCCACCCCTGCAAGCTACAAAATTGCAACTCCTGGCCTTGACCGATCACCCCCTACCCCCTAGCTTGTTTCATCACCCCCCTCTGTACCCCACATGTCACAAGATAGAGCATACAGACAGGGTATCCAGAAGATATGTGGTGGGTATAGAAGGACTTTGTAACAGCCCTACCCCCACACTGCTTCCCGCACCCGTCAATTTTATACCCCACCCCTTCTAATTCAATCTGCGACCTACCAGGTCCCTTCACCACCCTACGTTTGCACCATAAATACGAACATTGTCAGCAATCCTCATGGTGTACCCTACCCTATCGACCCCCCATACACCAGCATCAGTCCCTGGTACCACCCACCTTAATATCCATTTTGCCTAACTAATGCATCACCCCTGTCCTTTCCTTGTGTCCACCCACCCACCTTGTTTTCAGAACAACAACCCTAACCCCTACCCTGCCACACTCTTTACACCACCCCCACCCCCCAAGTGGCCATGATCGACCCTCCAGTTCCTCCAAAACCTGACAGATCCCCTGCTGTTTGGCGGGTAGGAATTTGTACGTAGGCCAACTTCATACATCTCGAGATTGCGGTACAAGTTTGGTGTTGATTTCCCATACAAAAGTGACCAATGACGATTTTTATGATTTGTATCTGAGTTTGTAACACCAACAATGTTATAAATCTTGTGGTCGTCCGCATACTCACTGAGGCCCCCCGGCGTTTGTCCCCGTAGGGACCTCAACCAGCACGGCCGGCCTGGATGTTTACTACACCACAATATTATTATAAGTTTGTATTGAGCTTGGGTACCAACAGTGACGGTGCTGATTCATAGTAGAGTGAACTTATTCTCTATTGTTAATGAATCTTACTAATGTTTTTACTGAAGCTCTAAAACACCTCAATTTTAAAACGGAAGCCGTGCAGGGATCGCCTGACCTGCAGGGAGCACCGAAACCAAAGGATTTCACGTAGTGCTAAGGGTGGTATGACCTACCTACCCCATCATATGCCACAGCAACAGAGTGCACATAGGGGGTGAGAAGTACCCTCATCCCCTACCCCCGGGGCGAGAGAACCCACCCTGACCCTCCAAAAGGATCTGGCGGTGTAAACCAGGACACTTTCGACAAGCTCGCCTCAGGTGGTTGCCGGGCCCGGGCCCGGGCCCGGTGCCCGGTGGTGCTACCGCGGCGGCACCACCGGGTTGTGTTCAGCCACAATTCTTAGCTTGTGATCCCCTCTTCCCCCGGCAGACCGCTGCCAGCCACAAACCATGCAGGCGATGCAGGCGATGGAGATGAGCCTGGCGCATGTCGACGGGAACACGTTGATGAAGTGCATGCAGACATGCAGGTCCATGCGCTCCTGGATCATGGTGAGCTGCTTGTGCGCATGTGCCCTGCTCTTCATTCTTGCACCTCTGGTCAAGATGTTCTCGAAACCTACCCCGCTGCGCCACTCAGCTACAACTTTGATTTCACCGCCATGGCGATATGTAGGCGCATGACAGACCGCGTCTACATGATATCACTTGAAATGTTCATGTGTTGGTGATGATCTTGCCTTTATCGACAGAGTGATGAATCGGAGAATCAATGGATGAACGCGTGTTTGTGCGATTACGCTTTCACCGACAAGCGGCTGCCTTTGGAGAGTATGGGGAATGCTGCTACACACAGGTGCCTCGGTTCCTCCCTTCTTTCATCATCAGAGCGCTGATTGATGTTCCAGAGAGGCATGGCTAGCTTGGAGCAAGGAGTATTCTGACTTCTTTGGGTCTGCTGATTGATAGTGGGAGCCGCCGACATGTTTGTGATCTTGCTGGCAGGAGCAAGGAAGACCTTTCCTATTTGAGGCGCGCGGCCCATAGTTGGGTTGCAATCTCTGGTGATTCTCCTGGATCTTGCCAGCTGTTCTCTTGAAAGAGCATGCTTTGCTTCGACAGATTGGCTGAAAAAGAACGCCCCTCCGATGCATGCAACGCTGATGCCCGGGGTGAAACGGGTGATTTTCTTCCTGCTTTCGAGGTGATGCACCAGTGCCGATGAGTTTTGTGCGCAGGAAGAGATGGAGAAATTTGAGGGTGGAGGCACACTTCCTTCAGCACTGAAAGCGATGTTCTCTTCGATGGATAGGTGGGGGTCGACCTTACGTTTGTGCTGCAGATACCGGATCCACAACGGGCAAGATCCGAGAAGAGCAGCCATAGACATAGCAAGAGAGTGAGTGAAAACGACCTTTGGGTGTTGGGTGATACACTGAGAGTGCTGATTCTTGTTGCAGCGATTCCACCTTTTTTGGCTTGTTTGGAGGCTACAATTTTTATGACCATGTTATCAACTTGCGCATGTTGTCGGTAGGTTCTTGTTGGAGAAACATCTCTGTGCTATCTCCTCACTTCTCTACAGCTTGAAGTGGGGTTGAATCTTGCAGAACAGCAAGCAGCGTCCTTCTCGTGAGTTGAAAAGTGTTTCAATTATCACCCTTGACCAGTGGTGTAGGTGGGAGGAGACTGTTCCCGATAGACCTTTCGTGATAGCTTGTTGGCTTGTCTTCAAATAAGTCCCATCTTGTAAATACGACTCTCCAGGTTCTCTGAGAATGCCGGATACCTCAGGACAAAGTCGGATCCCCAAGATGCTGGTGCGTTCTTTCTCATTTGTTCCATCTACTCTCGGGACCGTGACGCATATCTTCGCAAAGGTTGTGAACAACAAGACAGCAAAGATTTGGCTCCGTGGACATGATTCAAGATTGATGAGAGCCTGCAAGAACACGGATGTTTCTGATGGTTCAGCTGAGCCCAGAGTTGTTCCGTGTGCTGATTGTGTTTTTCTCCTCATCCTCAGGCGTGCTGAAGTGGTTCGAAGACTTTGCTGCTCGTGTGGCTGCTCAGAACTTTGAGTTCAAGCCAATCGTCCCCGCAGCTCCATTGCTGGGCCTCAGCCTCTATCCCCGTTGCCCTCCTACTGGTGGAGAAGCAACGACGCAGAGCATCAGGATCCGGGGTTCTTCGGTACGGATAATAGACTGTACTGTACGACCTTTCTGATGGGCACGTGGACAGATCTTTGTGCCCGAGAAGACTAGAATCAACTACTGGTTCACCTACTGCTTCAGGATGTCGGCCGTTGCTGCTCTTCCGGCTGAGTGGGGAGGAACATGCCAACTCGTAACGAGGTCAAACTGCAGACTGTCCTGAACTGCCTTGACCTGACTCCTTCTTCCTCACTTCAGGCATCTTGTGTTCAGTGATAGCATCAGCGAATCTCCCAACATAGTGGATGGCGAGGGCGTGATCGGCGACTTTCCTATCCTCAAGGTTTCTCCTCCTCTTCCTCTCAGTATTCCTGTGCCCTTCCTGCTCCGATCCTCGTGGACATGCAGCATCGCTCAACTGCCCTCCTTTCCGGCAGCTTGAGTTGATTGATCTGACCTTTTCCTACAGTTTGGACGGCACCAGCGATCTACTGGCCAACCAGAGCAAGAAGGAGAGTACGAGTACGCCAGGTTTTCTGCTTCTCCTGATTCCCCTGCTCGTGCTCGTGCTCGTGCTTAGCTCCTCCTGCTCCTCCTGCTGCTGCACTTTTTGCTCCTTCTTCTGCTTCTGCTTCTGCTTCTGCTCCTGCTCCTGCTCTTCACCTCATGCTCCTGCTCCTCCTAACTTGGATGCTATCCAGCTGTACAGGCGTTGACAGCGACCTCGGAGAAGTGTCAGGGTCCTTCAGGTGAATCAGAGGTTCACTATCTTCCCAGTGACTTTTCCCTCCAGATTCGTCCCCGGAACTATCAAGGCGCCCAAGGTCTGAACAGCCATCGACCTGTCGATCGACTTCTTGCTTACCTTATCAGACTTGTCGATCGACTTCTTGCTTACCTGATCATCTTGTCATCTCTTCATTCCTGTTGTTGCTGGTGCTGCTGGTGCTGCTGGTGCTGCCACGCTTCTGCTGTCTCTTCTGCTCTCCTGTTTCAAAGCAATGCCATCCTGTCATTTGTCTTGTTGCCTCGATGCTGAACTGTGTTTCCAGGGCCCTCCGTTTGACGTCAAAATCCCTAATATCAAGCTAATTGTCCCTGACTACATCTCCTAGAGTTGCTCTCCTTGTGTGGAAAACGATTACACGACACCAACTGTACAAAATCTCCAAGTCTCGGGCATTCACTTGCATCCTCCTGCTTTCAGTTCTGCCATGTTTCCCCTTGCTACTTCTATTGCATTACTGAAGTCAATGTGAACGATGCTGTCACTGAACTTACACTTGTTCTATAATTCATTCTTATTTGCAATAAATTGACAAAGAAACAAGACAAGACAAGACAAGACAAGACAAGACAAGATAAGATAAGATAAGACAAAAGCTATACAAGGCATGCATACTCTACAGTTTTCATATCAGCACACAGGTTCATTGTATGGTCAGAAAGTTGATGGCGTTGTACTTCCATCCCTTGGTTGGCGGTCTCCCAGCATGTACCTGAGCCTTCGTTCAGCGTGGAGATTGATCCAGCCCAAGGACAGACGTGAGAGAAAGAGGTAGGGAACATGAGGACCCGCCCGCACTTGGGGCTGACGATCCTCCCCTGCTGCAGGAAGACCGTCTCTCCTCCTTCCACCCCGTTGAAGTAGACCAGAAAAGCCACCACCCGACGAGGCGCACAGGGAGCCTCCTGCCCTGAGTCCGCATGGTACGCGTGGTGCTCAGTCCCGTCATCCAAATACCTGCGATGAGGAGAAGGCAAGGTGACGAGATGAAGAGAGGAGGACGGGGAGGAGGACGGGGAGGAGGACGGGGAGGAGGACGGGGAGGAGGACGGGGAGGAGGACGGGGAGAGGACGGGGAGGAGGACGGGGAGGAGGACGGAGGGAGGAGGACGGAGGGAGGAGGACGGGGAGGAGGAGGAGGAGGAAAACGGGAGGGAGGAGAGGAAGGATGCAGCTACCTCTTCATGCGGAACCCTTCATCGCCGAAGGGATTCTTGAGTTGCCGGAGGATAGGATTCTTCTCTTCGTACCTGGACCGTCATGTCAGATGAGGTCAGGGGGAGGTTGTGAGATACAAGATGGTGTGGTTGACAAAGACTGACAGCAGCATCTGCTCTATCTCCGCCCACTCCGAACTCTTGCGGGCCCCTTCTGATACCTTGACTGGCAGTTCAGGCGGTAGCAACAGAGGGCAAGTGACTCTGACCTCGTACTCGCTCGCTTTCTTGACCTTGTGGTCTACGATGATCTTTCCCTCGCTGATCAGGTTCCCCTAGAGCGCCGTGACGTTAGCGCATGCGATGGCGTTACGTGGGAGGGTGACACACCTCGTAATGATCCGATCTCTCAAACATCTCGATGATCTTCTCGCACTGAATCATTACCGTCACTGCCGTCGTCATCTCCTCCTCCTCCTCCTCCACCACCACCACCACCACCACCACCACCTCCTCCTCCTCCTCCTCCTCCACCACCACCATCATCATCATCCTCATCCTCATCCTCATCATCATCATCATCATCATCATCCTTCTCCTCCTCCTCATCATCATCCTCATCCTCATCCTCCTCATCATCATCATATCCATCTTGTCAACAAGACGGAGGCAACGCACAACCTGATGGCTGCTCAAAGCTCCATCCCACACCTGAATCGTTTGATCCTGACCAGTACGATCAGCACAGGACAGGCGACATCAGCCTCCACCTCAGTCCCAGCTACATGCTCTCTGCTCATGTGGTCCGGAAAGGTTGCTCCCTTCTTCCCCACGTTGTGATAGACTCGGTTCCGCTCGCCCGGCCGCAGCACCTGGATAAGCCGTCAGCGTTCTGGAGCTTTGCTAGTCTTCAGCTGGACTGTCTCACTTGAACCATGGTGTCCAGGTTCTTGCTGATGGCTGCCAGGGACGGAGCGGCGGCGGGCTGAAGACTCTTGAGCAAGAGGGCAGCAGCGTCCAAGCAGAAGAGAGCCTCGGACAACCTCCCCGAAGGATACAAGACGTCTGCCGCAAAGTTGGCGAGCTCGACAGGGTCCCGGCTGGCGAGCGAGCAGTTCACGGGAGTAAAGTGCTTTCCGATGATGGCCTGATATCGTTCTGACATGGGCAAATGTCGAAATGTCCAACACAGTCGTGTCAGTGTCAGGCATGAACACAGCCACGTAGGAGAGGCTACAGGCTACCTGCTGTAGTCAGGGGAGCATCTTCACTCCATGATCGCTTCTCTGATCTCACAGCCTCCCTCTCGGCTTCTTCCCTGGCTGGTCGTCCAGCTCCGCTCCTGTTCTCCCTTGGAGATAGTGTCGTGCGAGACAGAAAACCAGCTACGTCCCGACGCAAGACTTCAGCATTCTGTCGAGCAATCTGCTTGCAAATCATCATCGTCTCCATCTCACTCTTCGTCCTCTTCCTCGTCCTCGCCCACTTCCTCGTCCTCGTCCTCCCCCCTCGCCCTCGTCCTCGTCCTCGTCCTCGCCCTCGTTCTCATCATTATCATCATCGTCCTCGTCATCTCCATCTCCACCTCAATCTCCATCCCCATCTCCATCTCCATCTCCATCTCCATCTCCATCTCCATCGTCGTCATCATCATCATCACTATCATCACCATCATCATCATCATAGGCGACTCCATGCAGGTTGAGTTTGATTGATTCCCCACCTCCTTGTGTTCGGGGTTGTTTCCCAGCTGCGCGGCTGTCAAGAAGCATGACAAGGCAGCCCTGAACTTCATCAGGCCGTGCAGCTTTGCGCCAAGATTGACAACTTCAGCTGCACCCCAGGTCCTGCTGGGGAGGTGCTGGGTTGGGCACACGTCCAGCAGAGGAGCGGTCACGTTCCACTTGAGCACCTCCTTGTCGAACAGCCTGACGGGGACCCGAGGCATTCCCAGCTGGACGTCGAAGTAGAACTCAGCGCCTGCCCAGCAGCAGCTGTAAGGGACCATCCAGTTGGGCAGCGGAGGCTTGGACCTGACTCTAGAGGTGCGAGGCTGTTGGCGACGAATCGCTGGCGTACAAGTTGCCAGCGAAGAGCCTTGAGTTCCTCCTGCTGCTGCGGGAGGTTGGCGATGTGGAAGAGGCCGACGCTGTTGAGGCCTCGTTGGAGGTTGTTGGCGTCCAGATAGACTGCGGGGGGAATGACGTCAGTTTGCGATGGTGACGTAGCAAGCAGAGTCACAGGGCGGAAGGGTCTTGCCCTTGATCGGCCTCAGAGCGTTGGCAACAGCAACGAAGTGGGAGGAGCCAGTTCCAACCAGGCCGTCGCACTCGGAGAGGAAGAAGATGTCCGACAAAGACTCCTGGAGGACGCGAGCAGGTCAGAGCCTCGTCTCCCCTCCTCCCGTCTCACAATCGCAAGAGTTTGCGCTTCCTTCCCCCCTCGCGCTTGTGCGAAGCTCGCGACTGAGTCGGCCTACAGCTCCAAGTCACGAGACGAGTCATGGGCGAAGAGCAGATGGCAGGAGGAGCTTCAGACTTCAGACCATACCTGGTCTCGTATCCACCGTTCCGGAAGTCTTTGTCTCTTGGGAACGATGAGGCGAACGAGGCTGAACACGTCTCTGCTGTCGGAGGGCACGTCTTGAAGCTCGCTCGCAACCCTCGGAGAGTCAGTCGCGATGTACAGGTGGCGCGATCCCGCGAGCGCTGCCTGCTCGAGACCAGCATCGAGGTAAGCAGAGAGCTCGTAAGTCTGCTTCTTCCATGTTGCATGCTGCTCGTGCAAGTCAGAGGGAACTCATCGTGTGGTAGAAGAGAAGAACGATGAACACATCGAAGTTTGTGTTGAGACCAGAGTGAAAAGACATCACAACAAGTTCAATCGTCGAACGAGACAGTTGCATGGCAAGTTCGATGTGATAAGATACGAAATATTAACAACACTTGCAGACACGATTCATGTACGACAAGGTTTGCCTGCGTGTCTCCTCTCCGGACATGCACTCCGACCATCTTCAGATCGTCTTTCACGCTACCCGTCCATCCCATCCACACAGCTTCCTTCCACAGAAACTCGAGAACCTGGGGCAGGTTAAGGAGGACAAACTTCACACCGCCTTCCCTGCCTCCTTTCTCGGCCTGAACACGAAGTTGTACACAAGAGAAGTCCACGTTTGATGCACGAGGGAATCAGGAGAGTCATCGCCCAAGGCCCTCCTGAGTTCGTCTCTGAACTCGACTGGACAGACGAGGGCAGCTACGTTTCCCCGCATCTGCTCTTCGTCAGCAGCATAAGGTAGGAAGGTCGGCCAAGGACCTCGTCCGCAAGCTTCAGTCGGCTGGCGTCGTCGAAGCCATCCTGGTACAGGAGCGCCTGCAAGGACGAGAAGGAGGAGGATCACGCGGCAGTGTAGCTGAAAGTTGCCTTACCCTCTCCTGCGCCGTTGTGTCCTCGAGGCCACACGCAGTGAAGGGGAGGAAGTAGCTGTCAAAACTCGTCACTCTCCTCCTCCTCTGCAAGTCATCTGAACCAGAACAGGTCATGCCCAGCACAGTTCCATGGACCAGGTTTGTACGCCAGGGCGGTAGGGCCCAGCACGACCGTCCGGTTCTCGTAGAAGGCTTCGGCGATGGAGGACGCGGTGCGGTGAACGATGCTGGCGAACCCGTCACCTTGAAAACCGTCGAAGTCCAGGACGAGGACCCTAGCGCTGGTGGCAGGTAGTTCAGAGCCCCTCCCAGGGATTGAGTTGCGAGTACCTGGAGCAGTCGTCGGGGTGGTTCATCCTCCACAGAGCTTCTAGGATCTCGCACTCCACTCGGCTCAGTGACTTGATCCCTGAAGACAGACCAGGGAGTTGCCCTTGGCATGCCCGGCTTCCAGCCATGAAGCGCTTCTTGGACGTCGCACTGGAGGTAGCTCCTTTGCGCGGATCTCCAGCTGCACTGATGAGGAGAGGAGAGAGAGCGAGAAAGACCAGGACGGCACTGTTGCAGCATTGCAGAGTGTCACTCTTCCGATGCGTCCTCCAAGGCATCGAGGTGATGGGGAGAACGTGTATTGTTTCTGATGTATCCCCTGTTAGGAAGAAGCGCTTGCGCGCGCTAGATCCTTCATCAGAAGTTCGTCGTCTTGGTGTCAGGTCCAGAGGGGATCACTGTTAGCAAGTCAGTGTTGAAACCTCGACAATCCCATGCAACCTCACACGGCTGGTCGCCATGGCTTCTTGCTCCCTCCCCTCCCCTCTAGATCTCTTGGATGACTGCTAATAGCTCCCTTGCTCCCCTTTCAGCAGCTCTCCTTCCCCTCAGCAGCTCTCCCTCTCCTCTCCACCACCTCTCCCTCTCCCCTCCCCTCCCATGCCGGCAGCTTTGTGGGATCAAACGGCTCCCGGCCCGCCTCGGCGTCGAGCGGCCCGGCCCGCCCGCCGTGATACTATATGGACCGGCGGGGCGCGGCCGCGGCATAGTGGCAGTTCAGTTGCCCCAGTGCGCGGCCGGCCGCCCCGCGGCGCCCCGGGCCCGTGACCGTCCGTCGAATCCGCTGGCCACTGTGGGACTCCGCCCCTGCGCTGAGGCCCCCGTGACGGTGGCTGAGTTCAACTTCAAGTCGCGGACTCCGGAGTCGCACCCGGGCCCGGGGGCCCGGCGGCGGGTGCCGCCGTGCCACGGTGACCCCCGCGTTGCTTTCGAGTCAACAGGGCCGGCCGCCGAGTGCCGCGGGCCGGGCCGGCCGCCGGCGGGCGGCTGACTCAGGCCCGGCCAGTGAGCCGGGGGCCGGGCTGCCGCCTCCGGTCCGACGCCGGTCAGACGGACCGTCGAACGGTCAGACTAGCGGCCGAGTCGGGAAAAAGTTGACGGAAATAGAGCAGAGGGTCTTCCCACGAGATTTTAAAAAGTGAGTTTTACCTTGTGGTAGGACCACCCACCCTCAGGTGATCCACAGGATCCATAAAAAGAGGCCCAGGCACCGGTGGTTATTAGCGCAACACCGCGGGTATATCAACCCCTCCTTCCTCCTTGCAATACCCCACGTGGCCCTTGCTTGCACCCCGTGTGACTAAACATCAGGCGTTGCACCTTCATGGGGTGGTCATTCGTAGATGCTGTTCATAGGGGTATGTTTCAGTACCAAATATGATATAAAGACAGGGGTGGGGTCATGCCAGTTACGAGATTTGAGGGGCAGGGAGGGTAGGGTCAGTGCACTTGCAAGCCTGTGAAGTAAATTTTGAAAACACTTGTTTTCGAAGATTTAAATCTCCCTGAAGTCAGGAAGGGGCGTCACGTGCCTTTCGTGTGCTCCCACGAAATTAAAGGGTAAAATATGAACATTTTCTAAAACATTTGAAGTTTTCGCAGATGTGGTTCAACTATATTCAATTGGCACGCTTCATCCACCACGAATTTGATTTCTTTAATTTCAAATAAACAGGAAAAGTTTAAAATTTTATTTCAAAACTCTCGGATACAATTTGCCCTCGTGCGTATAAAAAAAACTCCTCTATGGCACAAGATCTGTTAGAACCAGTACCCCTACCCCTCTTTTGTACCCCTACTATTCAAGCATGCCCCTCACGAGTCTCAAAACTACAGAAAAGGATCCACCACCCTACCCCCTCTTTTACCTTCAATTTCTTGCTTGATCACCCCTTCTACACATACCCCACCCCTTACAATCTATGGCTTACCTTGGGTAGTCGCACATTCAAGGGAGCCCTCCATAAAATCTCCACCCTCCCGCCTTTCCGTCACTCGCTCGCTCCCATGGCGTCGCTTGCTGCTGCTCCTGCCGCGGATGCTCCCGTCGACGCTAAGACTCTCCCCAAGACTCTCAGTTTCGACAACGTGGAGTTCATGTCCGCCAACATGACCGGCTCCTCCGTCGATCCCAAGGCAGCTGCCTCGATCTCCGAGGCCCTCACGGGCCTTGGTGCCAAGGCTGGCAACGACGCCATCAAGGCTGGAGCTGAGCTCGGCGAGCTGGTCAAGGCTGCGGGTGTCAAAGCGTTTGTGGAGTGCGGAGTGGTCGAGCACCTTCACAAGCTCATTGAGGACCGCAGCACCGCCGAGCCCGCGCTCTATGCCATCAAGGGATGCGCCGAGGCTGTCGGAGCCAAGGCCGAGCCCTTCCTCGTGCCCTTCCTCGCCCCGGTCCTCTCGTGCGTGGCGGACAAGAAGAAGGCTGAGGTCCGCGCTGCCGCTGAGGCTGCCGGCCCTGCCATCATCGAGATCGTCTGCCCTCAGGCGATCAAGAACGTGCAGGGCATGCTCTTCGCGGGAATCGCCGAGACCAACTGGCAGACCAAGATGTGGTCCCTCCGCCTCCTTGGACAGCTCGCCGAGAAGTCGCAGGTTCCCTTCTCCCGCTCCCTCTACCAGGTCATGCCTGTTGTCTCCGCCGCCATGTGGGACAGCAAGAAGGACGTGAAGGAGGCTGCCGAGTACGCAACCCTCAAGGCCATGGAGACTTGCCAGAACAGGGATATCCGTCCCTTCATCCCTGCTGTGATCCAGTCCATCAAGAACCCCGAGGAGATCCCCGAGACCCTCCACAAGCTCTCTTCCACCGTCTTCGTGCAGTCTGTCGACAACCCCGCGCTCTCCATCACCGTCCCCATCCTCATGCGTGGCTGCAACGAGAAGAAGATCGAGTCGAAGCGCCGTGTCTGCGTCATCGCCGACAACATGTGTAAGCTCATCGACTATGCGCACGAGGCCACCACCTTCCTTCCCGAGCTCCTACCCGCCATCGAGCGTCTCTCCACTGAGATGTCCGACCCCGAGGCCCGCTCCGTGGCTACTCGTGCCCTCAAGACTCTCAAGAACATCAAGGAGAGCGCCGAGGCCTTCGAGGCGTCCAAGAAGATGGAGCCCGAGGATGTGCTCAAGGTCCTCGAGGAGGCCATCACCGCCAACGTCCCGGGAACCAAGCTCGACGACAAGACCTTCCGTGTTTCGCTGGAGTATGTCGCCTGCCTCCTTTCCGGCATGATCGACGGCATGTTGTTCGAGGAGGAGCAGTGGAAGTTCGAGGGAGTCTGCCCCTACCTCGCTCCCTTCATGCCCCAGGCTGACGCCGAGGCCGTGTGCAAGGCCGCGTACGCCCAGTGCTACAAGTCTTGCGTGCCCAAGGACGCCGCTGAGGACGAGGACGACGAGGGAGAGGATCTCTGCAACTGCGAGTTCTCGCTGGGTTACGGAGCCAAGATCCTTCTCAACAACACCCGCCTTCACTTGAAGCGCGGCAAGCGCTATGGCGTGTGCGGCCACAACGGATGCGGCAAGTCTACTCTGATGAAGGCCATCGCCAACGGGCAGGTTGAGAACTTCCCTCCTCCCGACGTGCTCAAGACCGTGTACGTGGAGCACGACATCCAGGGCGACCTCTCGGACCTCAACATCGTCGACTACGTGTGCAAGCTCGTCCCCGACAGGTCCAGGGATGACATCATCGCCAAGTTGGACGAGTTCGGCTTCAAGGCTGACGACTCCTCCCCTGCCAACATTAACGCCTGCATCTCCGGCCTTTCCGGAGGATGGAAGATGAAGCTCGCGCTCTGCCGCGCCATCCTGATGAACGCCGACATCCTCCTCCTCGACGAGCCCACCAACCACTTGGACGTCAAGAACGTTGCATGGCTCGAGAACTTCTTGACCAGCCAGGACAAGGTTACCTCCCTCATCATCACTCACGACTCTGGCTTCCTTGACCGTGTGGTTACTCACATCATCCACTACGAGGAGAACCGCAAGCTCAAGAACTACAAGGGCAACTTGTCCGCCTTCGTCAAGCGCGTGCCCAGGGCCAAGACCTACTACGAGCTCAGCGATGAGAACATCAGCTTCACCTTCCCTGAGCCCGGCCTCCTCGACGGCATCAAGTCCAAGGGCAAGGCGATCATCAAGATGGACCGCTGCACCTACACCTACCCTGGACGCGACAAGCCCACGGTCCGCAACATCACTCTGCAGGCGTCGTTGTCTTCCAGGGTTGCCGTCGTCGGACCCAACGGAGCTGGCAAGTCGACCATCATCAAGATGTTCTGCGGAGAGACGAAGCCGACTGAGGGTACCGTGTGGCGCCACCAGAACATGCGCGTCGCCTACGTTGCCCAGCACGCTTTCCATCACTTGGAGAACCACCTTGACCAGACGCCCAACGAGTACATCCAGTGGAGGTACAGCTCGGGCGAGGACAGGGAGGCTAACGAGCAGGAGGCGAGGAAGATGACCAAGGAGGAGGAGGACAACCTCGAGAAGGTCCACGTCATCCGCAACGATGACGGCACCGTCGAGAAGCGCATCATCGAGGCTCTGAGGTCTCGCCGCAAGACGAAGCGCTCCTACGAGTACGAGGTGAAGTGGCTCAACAAGTCGGAGGAGAACAACACCTGGATCGAGCGCGAGAAGCTCGAGGAGATGGGATGGGGCAAGATGGTCCAGCGCCTCGACCAGCAGGAGGCGCTCAGGGCTGGTCTGGCCAGCCGCCCGCTGACCACCAAGTTCGTGGAGAAGCAGCTCGGCGACATGGGCCTGGAGGCTGAGTTTGCTACTCACTCTCGCATCCGCGGCTTGTCCGGAGGACAGAAGGTCAAGGTGGTGATCGCTGGTGCTATGTGGAACAATCCTCATATCCTGGTCATGGACGAGCCCACCAACTACCTCGACCGCGACTCCCTCGGCGCCTTGGCTGGAGCCATCCGCAAGTACGGAGGAGGAGTTGTTCTCATCTCCCACAACCGCGAGTTCACCGAGGCTCTCTGCCCCGAGCGCTGGGTGGTTGAGAACGGAGAGCTGCGGCGCGAGGGAGAGGTCGCTGCGGACGAGAAGATCGACGCGAGCGCCAACGAGGCTCCTGATGAGGTGATGGACTCGCTCGGCAACGTGATCAAGGTCAAGAAGGAGAAGAAGCTGTCTGCCCGCGATCAGAAGAAGCTCGAGAAGAAGAAGGCTCAGCGCAGGGCCGCCGGCCTCCCCTCCGACTCCGAGGAGGACTAAATTGCTTGCCTGTCTTGCTAGAGTAGCGATGTTGCTCAAGTAAAGACTTGGTTCACACATTTCTTGTCTTGTTCTCTGCACGCTCCTACTCTTGCTGCTTGCTTACTCTAAAGCTCTGCACTCCTCGCTCCTCCTCGCTTCAACATCTGTCACTCCTCTCCTCTCCTCTCCTCTCCTCTCCTCTCCTCTCCTCTCCTCTCCTCTCCTCTCCTCTCCTCTCCTCTCCTCTCCTCTCTCCTCTCCTCTCCTGTAACCACTATTCACCGTCATTCCTGGCCCTCCCTCTCTTTCCTGCTCCTCACCGACCTAAAAATTCCAATGACCCTCAACCATCTTCAACCGTGCGCGCTCGTTTCACAATCTGGTCTTCCCTCCCCCTCCTCCCTCCTCCCTTCCTGCTCCCCTCCCTCCTCCCCTCCTGCTCCCCTCCCTCCTCCCTCTCTGCTCCCTCCTCTTCTCACCTCTGCAGATTCTCGCTCTCCTCCCTCTTACTTCCTCCACTCAATGTGATCCAGCGGCCAGCACAAGACGAGCTGACGAGAAAGGGAGGGAGAAGGGAGAGAGGGAGAGAAAGCAAAGCAAGAAGGGAGGAAGAAGGGAGGAAGAAGTAGAAGCAAGATCGAGAAAAAGGAGGAAGAGAAGAAGCAAGAAGAGGAGGAGGGGACGAGGGGAAGGAAGCAGGGGAGGAGGGGAGGAGGGGAGCAAGGAAGGGCGAGGGACAAGCAGGAAGGAGGAGAGAGGGAGGGAGCAAGAAGGGGAAGGGAGGAGAAGTAGGAAGCAAGAGGAACAAAGGAGGAGCTCCGATCTCTTAGGCAGGTCTCGTCCACGAGGGCAAGCAGATTCTCCCCACCATTTGTTTATCATTCATCTTGTTCGAGGCTTTCTCAGTCTAACTTGCCGATGCTTTTGTTCTCCTCCTCCTCTCTTCCTCCTGATCGTCCTCGCCCATCGTCCGTATCAACCTCAGCTTCTTCCTGACTTCGATTCCCTTCTTTCCCCCTCATCTTTCCTTTCTCGCTTTCGCTTGAGCTTCTCGCCCTGCCATCCTCTTGTACCTCATGTCGAGTCAGACGCAGACACGGCTCCTCGTCCTGCAGTTCTTGTCTCTGCCCCTGTTGCTGTTGCTGGTGCTGGTGCTGGTGCTGGTGCTGGTGCTGGTGCTGGTGCTGGTGCTGGTGCTCCTGACCCTGCTGCTCCTGACCCTGCTGCTGCTGCTGCTGCTGCTGCTGCTGCTGCTGCTGCTGCTGCTCTTGCTCTTGCTCTTGCTCTTGCTCTTGCTCTTGCGTCTTCACCTACTCCTTTCCTACCCCTGCTCCTGCTCCCGCTCCTGCCCCTGCCCCTGCCCCTCCTCCTCCTCCTGCCCCTGCTGCTGCTGCTGCTCCTCCTCCTCCTCCACCTCCTCCTCCTTCTCCTGCCCCTGCCCCTGCCCCTCCTCCTCCTCCTGCCCCTGCTGCTGCTGCTGCTGCTGCTGCTCCTGCCCCTACTCCTGCCCCTGCTGCAGCTGCAGCTGCTCCTGACCTTGCTGCTTCTGCCCCTGCTGCCCCTGCCCCTGCTTCTGCCCGTGCCCGTGCCCCTGCCCCTGCTACTGCCTCTACAGCAGCTGCTCCTCCTGCTGCCGCCCCTGCTGCTGCTGCTGCTGCCGCCGCCGCCGCCGCCGCCGCCGCCGCCGCCGCTGCCGCCGCCGCTGCCACTGCTGCTCTTGCGTTTTCCCCTGCTCCTTTCCTGCCCCTGCGGCTGCTGCTGCTGCTGCTCCTCCTCCTCCTCCTGACCCTGCTGCCCCTTGAGTCGAACAACCCGGAAACTTTGTCGTCCACACACTCAACAAATCCATGAATTTGAGGATTGTCGAAAAAGACGGGAATTTATTTTTCTCAGTTTCTTTCATGATGATACTCATTCATATGGAAGTCTCAACAAGTGATTCAATTGATTCGCGTCAATCATATGTTTCCTGCCTCTTCGCTCATCTGTGGATTGTCTTCCGTCTTGTCCGCAAAAGCAGGTAGGGAGCCTGCGAGTTCTGTGGGACGAAAGTTTTCCGCATTCTCGACTTGGGGGGATGGCCGCTCAGAGGCATGATGCGGGATGCCTTCAAACTTGTAGAAGAGGATGAATGCGCGGGAAGCCTGTTAGGACGAGGACATTGCTGCAGTCGATAGACTGAAGACCGAAAGTATTACATCCGGGGTCAGTCTGCAAATACCTGATCACCATTAGCCATCATCTCTTGGTTCAAATATTGCCATCCTCCTCCTCCTCCTCCTCCTCCTCCTCCTCCTCATCATCATCATCAACATCATCATCCCCCTCCTCCTCCACCACCGCCACCACCATCCATCCATATCCAACGGAAGGTCCACATACCGTACCTCACTGCCATGTTTTGCCCCGGCAAGAAGGGGGTATTTGACTAAAACTTCAAGAGAAGCAACTCTCAGTCTATAGTATGACCCGGGCCGCGCGGCGCCGCCCGGCCGCCGCCCGGCGGCGTACCGTGAGCCCGGCGGGCCGGGACGAGGACAATGGCAGGACTGAGAGCCGGAGTAGACTGAAGAGACAGACACAAGTTTGGTCTTGCCACACTGCCGGCAACGGCGGCCGTCCGATTCGCAGTCCAAAAGTTAAAATCGTCGGTTCAAGAAATCACTCAGCCGAGATGAGTGATCTAACGGTATCCGGCGGCAGTGATCCAGGCCCTGAAACACAACACTAACCGTTGAACCGTTGACCGTACTGACCACTTGAAAGGAAACCGTTATGATCACTGAGTATGCTTCATTCGGACTCGGAGCCGTCAAACGGAGCCCGCCGCCGTCACCGGCGGGTCAAACCCACCGTCACCGTGCGGTACGGTACCCGCTGAGCCCCTGGATCATGACCGGTACGATGATAGGCAGAGACTGACCACCCCCTAGGCCCCCCCTCTGAGACCGGGGGCCACTGAAAGTTGCGCCCCACGTACCCCTATCTCCCAATACACCCCTCACTGGTTTTAGTACACCCCCGCCGGATACAGCGAAGTACGTAGAGCGATCGGTGCCTCCTCCTGAGAGTCAGGCCCACCAGGCCCCGAGGCCTTACAAGTAGTACTGAATCTGCTCGACCCCAGATGCCAATTACCCCTGTGGGCCCGCCGCAGTGCTGAATTGGGAAGCAGTGAAGATTTTCCAATGAGAGTCTATTGGGGTTTAGTTGCTGCCGTGTATTCTTTCCTGAGGGGGACCCTACTCTTTACAGGATCACCCGAAACGGAGGGAGGGGGGTGGGGGTCCTCTCAAGGGGTTGCAAGGTCGTGCCTCTAGTTTGCGGCACCATCCTAGTAAAAGTGACCACCCCACCTTCACCTGTCCCTTCTCTTTTGGTCCACCCCCCACCCCATTGAGTGACAGGTATAACTACCGCCACCCCCGTGTATCGTTGTGAGTACCCTCTCTTTTGATGTTGTTCGCAGGGTCATTTTCGTGTTATCTCCATACACCACCTACCCTACGCTTTGGTCTTGAATCACCCTACCCCATCTTCAGGTTTTGACTTATACACCCCACCCATCATTCTCACCTCAATTAGAGCCCTGCTGCCTCCTGCCGCACCCCACCCCCCCACCCCTATTCCCCACCTTGTAAATCCTCCCCACATTGGAACCTGAAGGAGCAAACTGACGGGATAGACTAAAAGGGGGGTAGTAGGGGTAGTCGGATACACAGGTCTAAGTGTCCTTCTGGGTGGGGGTGTTTTGATGTACCGGTTACTTAGTGTTATTTGATGTGATTTATGAGGTGGTGGGGTCATGTCAGGCTGGGGTCATCACAATCACGGTGGTCCATCCTTTTGGTAACTAGGGGTGGGGTCAAAATAAGGATATCAAAAATCGAAATGAGTGTTTTTCGATTATTAAAATGTTTTAATGAATAGAAAAACGTCTTTTCGATCCACGGAAATCACCTTTTTTTAAATGAGGGTCGAACCTCTAGGCACCGCCATGGCAGGGATACGAAGGGAAATGGCAGACAGTACGGGGGTGGGGGAGGCGGGAGGAGAGAGGGAGAGATGGGAAGATGATGATGATGTGATGAAACATCTCATCTGATGTGCTTGCAATGGTTACATCATGTTATGGAATACCAAGGAGAGCGCTGTGTTTGGCAAGGCTAGATTTTTGTTGACCTAGTCTGCCTGGCATCTAATGGCGGCGGAAGAGGGAGTTGAGAGCTCAGATGCAGGCTAAAGTCAGTCAGATATTGTGCAGAGTATGCATCATGACGCTGGGATCCTAGTCCTTGTTTGCTCGAGTCGTTGATTAGCGGTCGATGTGAGCTACTGCATGACCAGACAGGAAGGGCGGAAAGTGATGTGCACGGTGGTTTTGATCTTCTAATGACTCCGAACAGATGTCAGCAGATGAATCAACGAAGAAGTCTCGAATAGACGTCCTTGTTCAAGAGGATCGCTTCTCTGGAAGGCCGTGGGTGCTCAAAACGAGCCCCGAGGACGCCTCGTTACACTCGTCAGGTACGTCTTGGCACGCGATCGCTGCAGCTCTGAGTCCGCGCTAGCAACGACGACACTTCAATCGGGAGGATCGGACAGCCAGATGGAAAACGGACATGCAAAAAGCTCCCCGATACCCTTGTCAGTACCACCCACCACGTCCACTACTCCGGAACCGTACAAGCGCACGGGCTCTGCGGTTTCGAGGTATCTGATACGAGCTAGTGACAGGGTTGTGATGGCTGTTCACTTTCAGGTCATACAAAGCTCTCCAAAGCTTTCGAGCTTCTTTTCTATCTTCGTTCAAGAGCAATCAAATAGCAGATTCTGACTCCGAGCACATGTCCATTGCGGTATGCAGAAGGAGGCTGTACGAGGGGGGTTGACAGCTTGACAGACCAAGCAAGAGAAAGTGAAGCCTGCCAAGTCCTCGCTGAGATCCATCTTGAAGTAAGAGAAACATGATTTTGGTAAGAGAAAGCTCTCAGTGATGAGCGTGTTTGCAGGAAAAACGATCACTTGCACAGTCATAGACGAAGCATTGAGCTGTCATCGGAGTTGCAGTTAGAGGAAGAGAGATCTAAGGCCGACAAGCTCCTCCGTCCAAGGAAGAATGTCCGTATACATGTTCCTAGGAACATCAACGTGATCAGGTGAGCTTTCGGTCGGATCTACCTCCCTCCTGCCTGCTCTGTGCTTCATCGACAAGTGACTTGTCCCAGGCTGCCGAGCGTACAGGACGAGAACAGCGCGTTCATTCATGTGAGCGGAGAAGCAGGGGGAGGCTTCTTGCTCTGCTGACGTCACATGAGCAGCGATGGTCTTCCCTCTTCATGCTGCCGCTCGCCTACGAGACGTGGGCCTTTCCCTTTCGGTTCGCCCTGTGCCAGTATGCTCCTGCCTGTCTGTTCCTTGGGGTTGACTTGGCTCTGTACAGGCCGGGGAGCTCGTTACTGTTTGTGACTGATCTGATCTGTGACATCTTCTTTGTCATGGACTTCATCATCCACGCCTTCGTTGAGGTGCCGGGGAGAAAGGGGAGCAGCCGTTGGTGGCTGTTTCGCAACTACTTCCGGCAGCGGTTCCACAAGGAGCTGTTCCCTAGCATAATCTTCTTCCTGCTGTCTTCCAGCTACATCCCGATCTGGCTGTGGTGGCTCTCAACGATCCCCCGCCTTGTGCCGAGGCTGCAGCGGCTGAGGAGCTACTTCAACAAGATGGAGCTCAACCTCGAAATGGACGTGGACAAGCTCCAGATCTTCAAGTTCACCCTCGTCATCTTCCTCTCCTGCCACTGGGTCGGCTGCACGTACTACTGGCTCGCTCGCCTCCTCAACTTCGCCGACAACACTTGGATAGGGCAGTTCGAGGAGACGATGCCCAACATTTTCAACCGCTATGAGAGTCCAGTGAGAGAGAGGTACCTTGCTCTCCTCTACAGAGGTTGGATTGGCCTAGCTCCCAACTCCTACAGGAAGCCAGCACAGAACTGGCCCGAGCAGCTCTTCAGCGTCGCTGTGATGTTCATGGCGATGCTTCTCAGCGCCTACTTGCTCGGCTCCGTCCTGCCCTACATCGTCAAGAACGACCCAGCGGCTGAGGCGTTTCAGGCGAGAAGGATCAATTTTCTGAGGTTTGCCAACAACCGCGATCTTCCTTCAGGGCTGATCTCCAAGGTGATGAACTACTACGAGTTCCAACATAGCAAAGTCAAGATCTCCAACGTTTCCTCCATCAAGCTCACCCGCTCCCTCAAGCTCAAGGTCGCCAACCGCAAGTTCCGCCCCTACATCGACCGGCACTGCGTGCGAGGACAGTGCTTCTTCCGCTGCGAGCCTCAGTTCCTCAATTCCATCGTCTCCTCCCTCAAAGAGATCTATCTCATGCCGGGAGAAGACGTCATCCGCAAGGGAGACATCGCCAGGGAGCTCTACTTCGTTGCCGACGGGGTCGTGCAAGTGATCGAGAACGGAGAAGTGAAGCGAGAGATTCGCGGCGATGTCCAAGACATGCCGTGCGTCCTCGGAGAAGTCTCGATGTTCCTCGGCATCCCCCACTACCACGGGGCCCGCTCCTCCTCCGACACAGACGTGCGGCTGCTGGTGCTGACGCAGGACGTGATCGAGAAGCTGCTGAACCAGTACCCTGAAGAGCACGAGAAGCTCCTGCGGAACATCCTCGCCAACTTCAACCTCGACCTCCGCGGCAAGACGCTCGACGGGACGATGCAGGAGGAGGACAACGACATGGGCAGGATGCAGCAGAAGCATGAGATCCAGGTCGCGATCAAGCGGCGAGAGAACGAGATGTTCTCAGCTCTCAGCTATGCCACAGTGATGGGTGACGTCGAGGAGGTAGGAGCTGACCTCCCGTCAATCCTCCTCCTTCCTGCCGCCTCCTCCTCATGGATCCCTCCTCCTTCCTGAATGTTCTTCCTCCTCATTACCCTCCTGCTGCTGCTCCTGCTGCTGCTCCTGCTGCTGCTCCTGCTCCTGCTCCTGCTCCTGCTCCTGCTCCTGCTCCTGCTCCTGCTCCTGCTCCTGCTCCTGCTCCTGCTCCTGCTCCTGCTCCTGCTCCTCTATCTCCTCTCGTTCTCCGATGCTGCTCACCGAACATCTTCAGGTCCGCAGGCTCATCAGGAGGGGAGCCGACATCAACAGCTGCAACTACGATAAGAGGACGATGCTCCACGTTGCCTGCTCGGAAGGAAACACCCGCATCGTCGAGGTAGGAGGAGGAGAAGAAGGGGGAGGAGTAGGAGGAGGGCGCTGCAGCAGCTGAGTACGGGGAGCAGGTGCTGCTGGAGAGCGGAGCTGAGAAGAACATCAAGAGCAGATGGGGTCAGACGCCGCTGGTGGAGGCGATCTATGCGAAGCAGCCGCACATCGTGCAGGAGCTTCTGAGAGCTCAGTGCAAGCTGATGCTGGACGACCCTGCCGCCGCCATGTGCGACTATGCCTCCCGCGGGGACGTCGAGAACCTCCGCATCCTCCTCAGCAACAGGGTTGACCCCAACCTCGGGGACTACGACCGTCGCACCCCCCTGCACCTGGCGGCAGCGGAGGGGAACGACCGGGTGGTGGAGCTGCTCTTGTCATTCTCGGCGGAGATCAACATCAAGGACAGGTGGGAAGGAACGCCGCTCAAGGACGCGGTGGTGAACGGCAAGACGGTCGTGGCCGAGCTGCTGCGATCCAGAGGCGCTGTCATGCCCGCCGGGATCGGAGCGCAGGAGATGTGCAATGCTGCAAGCCAGGTGAGGGGAGGAGGAGAGGAGCAGATCAGAGCAGAGCAGAGCAGAGCAGAGCAGAGCAGAGCAGAGCAGAGCAGAGCAGAGCAGAAGTTGATGATGAGAAGGTTGACTGATGTTTCCTACAGGGGGACGTCGGTAGGATGCGGATGCTTCATGCGTGCGGGATCAGCCCTGATGAGGTGAGCATCGAGGAGGAAGGAGGGAGGGAGTGACGTCTGCGTACAGGGAGACTATGATTCAAGAGCTCCTCTACATCTTGCAGGTGAGAAGACGAAACCCCAATGAGGCGAATGCCACTGCTGCCCACCTTTTCAAGCTCCGGCTCCTGCTCTCTGTTTTCTTGCTCCTGCTCCTGTTCTCTTGCTCCTGCTCCTGCTCCTGCTCCTGCTCCTGCTCCTGCTCCTGCTCCTGCTCCTGCTCCTGCTCCTGCAATCTGGAATCTCGTCTCTTTGATTTCTTTACATAGCTTCGAGCGCCAAATTGCTGGCGATCTCATTTCTGCTGGGACTTGGCGCCGAAGTGAATATCAAGGTACAAGAGAAGAAGATAAGAGAACAGAAGAGAACAGAAGACAAGAAGGAAGAGAAAGAGAGGTCAGGTCAGGTCAGAGCAGTGCAGAGCAGAGCAGAGCAGAGCAGAGCAGAGCAGAGCAGAGCAGAGCAGAGCAGAGCAGAGCAGAGCAGAGCAGAGCAGAGCAGAGCAGAGCAGAGAATGAGTCTCTTTGATCTGACAGATTCTTCCTTAGGATCGTTGGGGCTCGACGCCCATGGACGACTGTGCTCGGGGGGACACGACCTACCACGTGGTGTGCGCGAAGATGCTACAGGGATGGGGGGGCAAGCTGAGCGTCATGGCGGGGACAGCAGAGGGGAGGAGGCTGAGGGAGAGGATGGAGGACCTGGACATGAACGATGTTTCCTGCCTCATGAGGCGCCTGATCTCTGCTGGACTGATGCACAACCGGCCCAAGACCCTCAACGAGCAGGAGCTGAGAACGTGCTTCGAGACATGCGTCCAGCTCTTCCCGCTGTTTGACAAGGTCAAAGCCGGGCTGGAGCCGTACTGTGACGCTCTGGAGTACTCTTTCCAGCTCCAGGTCGACCTGCATGATGAGCTGACGGACTTCCTGTTTGCGGTGGGGAAGCTGTCGGACCTCGCAGCCGAGACCGGGTCGTCGTTGACCTCGCTAGGGTGAGAAGAGGCGGAGAGAGGAGAGGAAAGGAGAGGAGAGGTAGTGGAGAGCGGAGAGGAAAGGAGGAGAGGTATTGGAGAGAGGAGAGGAAAGGAGAGGAGAGATAGTGGAGAGCGGAGAGGAAAGGAGGAGAGGAAAGGTAGTGGAGGGCGGAAAGGAGGAAAGTGAAGATGATTCAACCTGACATGATTCACAGCCGCGGAGGCTCGAGGAGGAGGAGGAGTTTTCTCAACTCTATGCGCTTCAAATCGACGCTGGGGCAGATGAAAGCAGGAAGCGACCTGGGGTCCACAGGATCCAACACTCCTCTTGTCCAGCCCATAGTACGAATCGTTCACTGCTTGCCTCTCCCCTCCCTCTCCTACTCCTTGTCTTTTGTAACCTTTCTTCTAATTTTTCTCCCTCCTCTCCCTCCTCTCCCTCCCTCTGATCCTCCTGCCTTGCAGGTCGGGGAGCGCAGGTCGGACACGCAGAAGATAACAGACTTTCTCGACAACCTGTCGGAGGACAGCTTGAACCCGGACATGCTGCTCTACAACGAGATGGATGAAGAGTCTCTGAAGCTCTACGAGGAGATAGACGAGATCGTTCTCCGCAACGAGAAGATGTACGAGAGCGGCAACCAGGGCAAGGAAAGGATCGCCAAGACCTTCAACAAGTACCTGATGCAGCTGTCCGAGGTCGAGTCCATGTACCAGTGCCTTAACAAGGCGGTTGCCAGCCTCGGAGTCCGCCAGACAGGCCAGCAGGAGGAGAGCAGTCTCTCAGCTGCCATCGACGTCACCAACTTCTCCATCGCTCTGGACCAGATGGGATTCAGGCACGTCAAGAAGGAGCAGAGGGAGGCGATCTTCGAGGAGGCGATCTACACGTTCAAGGTCTCCGACGGCGTCCTGCACATCGGGCAGATCCTGGCAGGCAGCCAGACGTTCCGGGATCTTCTGTTCGACCTGGAGGGTTCGTCCATCAAGCTAGAGGCCAGCCAGTTTTCTCAGCTCCAGAGCTCGGAGGTGCTGCGGTGCCTGCCGCTGTGCTGGAAGGTGGAGGTGGTGAAGGAGATGAAGACGCGGCTGTTCCGGGACAAGTCGAAGCTGTTCGTAGAGGGGCAGGTGCCCGAGAGGATCATGCTGATCAAGAGAGGGTCAGTGAGGCTCGAGAAGGAGAAGGAGAAGATATCTACCATGCCGACCGGGAAGCTGCAGCAGCTGGGGGAGTACGAGCTGTTCACCGGCTCTCCGATGCTCTACTCGGTGTACTGTGTCGGGGAGGTGGAGGCGTACACCATCTCCTTCGACATGCTGATTGACGAGATCAAAGATAGCCCGGGGTACGCCATCAACATCGCTCGCTCCCTCCTCAGCAGCGCGCAGAAGCAGGCGGCGCAGGGGACAGACGTGATGGCGGTGGAGTGGTACTTGAGCAAGGAGGGGCAGAAGGCGGATGACCTGCAGGAGGAGATCGCGGAGCTGGTGTGGGAGAGGTTCGGAGTGTCAGTGGTGGACGAGGTCGGGTGGAACCCTGACGAGAGCGTGTGGAGGAACGAGAAAAGCTTCCTAGTGGATACCGAGAGCTTTCACAAAGGTGAGGAACAGGAGAAAGGGGCAGGAGCAGGAGCAGGAGCAGGAGCAGGAGCAGGAGCAGGAGCAGGAGCAGGAGCAGGAGCAGGAGCAGGAGCAGGAGCAGGGAAACTTTGTCTGACTTGATGTTTCATAGATCAAATCGAGGCAGAGATTGATGCATGCCAAGAGATTCTTCCAGGCTTGCAGGTTCACCCCCCTCCTCCTATCATCCCCCCTTCCACTGTCGTGTTCTCCCTCCTGCTCCCTCTTCCGTTCCATCCTGTCCCTTTCGTGTCTTCCGTTCACCTCCTCCTGTCCCCTCCTCCTACATCCTCGATCGTTCTCTCCTCGCTTTCCCTTCCCGCTTTCCTTCCTCTCTGTTCCTCTTCACTTGTTTTCTTCGTGATCATCCCCCTTGATTCTGTTTTCTCAGGTCATCCGAGACAGCTGGAATCTTTTCTCCTTCGGCATGCAGCGAGTGGCCATGTCAGAGATCCTGGTGAATTGATTCTCCTCTTCCTCTACATCCTGCTCCTGCTCCTGCACTTTCTCCTCCTCCTATTCTTTCTTTTTCTTTTTCTCTCCCTCTTCCTCCCTGTTCTTTCTCCTCCTTTTCTCCTCCTCCTCCTCCTCCTCCTCCTCCTCCTCCTCCTCTTTCGCCATCATGGACCGCCATCTCGCTCACTCCTCTCTCTCTCTCTCTCTCTCTCTCTCTCTCTCTCTCAGAGCATGCGGTCTTACCTTGGAGAAGTCGGCGGTCTCTTCTTCCAGCAGTTCGAGCACGCGCTGGAGAAGTCGATGAAGACGAGGGCGGAGGAGAAGCAGGAGAGGAAGGAGGACGCACAAGAGTACGTGAGCATGGCGGACTGGTGGTACTGCTGGATGCTCCTGCTAGAAGGAAACGCAGAGCAGGAGAGCAAACTTGAGAGTCTGCAGATGATGGAGAAGCTGGGGGATGTAGATATCGCCTCCATCTCCTCCTACGAATTCTCCTCCTTCTCCGAGCCCAACATCTTTGACTTCCTCCTGTCCTTCGTCACGAGGCGCAGGATTCGCAACCAGCTGCTGTCCGAGCAGGCGATCGACCGCTACGAGGCTGCCTTCCTCATGACAGTGGGCAACATGACAGACGCGCTGGTAGCCGGGAAGGTTCCCCTGCTGATTCGGATGGTACTGCCGCACTTGCGCACAGTCAGCAACGTCAATGTCGTGGAGTTCTTCAGAGCGTTCGCAGACGGGGAGGAGGCGTCGAGATCGATCAAGTGGATCACGATGAAGAAGGTGGTGAGGGAGAGGAAGCGAGAGCTTGCGACTGCGCACGAGGATGAGCCTGTCTTGATGGAGGACACGACTGTGTTCAACCCATCCAGCAGGATGATGCAAGCATGGTTCGTGCTGATCCGGGCCGTTGCCATGTACATCTTCGTGTCAGTTCCAGTCCGGCTGACGTACCTCCCCTTCCGCAGCATCGGGCAGTGGCAGCTGCTTGCCTCGGATCTCGTTGCCGACCTCCTCATCATCCTCCACGTCCTCATCACCTTCAACTCAGCCTACCAGAACAAGAAGTCACGTTGGGTAACCGACCGCAGCAAGATCGCCAAGCACTACCTCTCCTCCAACTTCCTCGACCTGATCGCCTCTTTCCCCTTCGACTACTTCGCCGTCCTTCTTGGCCTCAACTTCTTCACCTCCCAGTGGCTCCGCCTCTTCAAGATGCTCTGCGCTCGCTGGATTTGGCACAAGTTCCCCGGCTCCATCTCAGTCCCCCGCGGCCTCCTCAAGCTCGCCATCCTCGCCTTCATGGCCCTTCACATCAGCGCCACCATCTGGTCGGCCCTGGGCCTGTCGGAGCAGGAGGGCTGGACCCTGGGAGAGACCTGGTACTTCGCTGCCTCAGCTCAGACCTTCTTGGAGGGCATGGCGGACGGGCGCAAGAGCATCTCCATGTGGGAGCTCTACACACTGTCGCTCAACTGGATCGCAACGCACACTGTCTCAGCCATCGGCAACTCCACCATCTACCCCAAGAACTACGTGGAGATCATCTTCGCTATCATCCAGCTCACCATCGGGATGACCTTCTACCGCATGGTCCTCGGCAAGATCTCCTCAGTGGTGATGAAGAAGGATGAGCAGATCATCAAGGACAGGACCGCTCTCGCTTCCCTCGAGTCCTTCATAGTCTCCAACAGGCTCGACCAGGACGCGCATCTAGCTGATGAGATCAGGACTCACTTCCACGTCAGCCGCTCCTCCAAGGCCGTGGACATGTCGGACATCGTTGACAACCTCAACTACTCCCTCCAATTCGAGCTCGCGTCCCTCCTCTGCCGAGAGTTCCTCGACCACGCCGCCATCTTCAAGGGCTGCAGCGAGGCTTTCCTCGACAGCCTTAGCGTCTCCCTGCGGGAGGTAGTCTTCGGGCCGGAGGAGACCATCTTTCAGATCGGCGACATGGCAGAGGACATGTTCCTTCTCACCTCCGGCACTGTCGACAAGATCGAGACCACTCTCACTGGCAACGACGTCGTCGTGGGCTCCCTCAAGAAGGGCTCAGCTGTAGGGGAGGTCAGCTTTGCCTTCGGCATGAAGCGGCTCTACACTGCTAGGGCCAACATGCTCACGGGAGCGGTATGTTTGCGGCTCTCCCGCACCTCGTACCTCCAGGTGCTCAAGCTCTGCCCCGAGGATCAGGAGATCGTCACGTCCAACTCGCTCTTCTCCTTCGAGAAGGCCAGGAGCGAGCACAGCACCAGCCACGCGAGCAGCAAGAGGTCCGCGAGCCGGGCAGGTAGCCAGTTCTCCATGAGCCTGGCGCAGGAGGAGGAGGATGAGCACCGGGAGGAGGAGGAGGAGGAGCGGACCATAGCGAGCGACTCGCTGGCGGAGAGCAACGACGAGGCACTGGAGTCGATCATAGGAGCAGGGGTTTTCTCTCAGATCCAGTCGCTGCGGACGAGGCAGGCAAAGACGCAGATGCTGCTGATGCTCGAAGCCTGCCAGGACAACGACCTCCAGAAGCTCAAGAAGGTGAGTGTTGCACCTGCCTCCCTTTTCCCAGCTGACCCCCAGTGCCCTCCCCCAGCTGATCTCCAGGGGATCCTCTGTCAACGACTGCGACGAGAACAAGCGCACGCCCCTCCACATCGCAGCGTCGGAGGGCAACCTGGAAATCGTCAAGTACCTCGTCGCCTCCAACGCAGACGCCAACAGCAAGGATGCGTTCCACAACACTCCCCTCAACGACGCTGTTCAGCACGAGCATGACAATGTCGCCTCCTTTCTCCGCGAGAACACGCCCGTCAAGACGTTCGTCCTGCCCGGCGCCATGGCAGCGGTGAAGCTCCTGACGTACGCGTACGAGGGGAACCTGGAGGGAACCAAGAGGCTCATCAGCAACGGCGTCTCCGTCAACGCAGAGGACTACGATCGCCGCACGTCCCTCCACCTGGCGTCCTGCGAGGGTCACCTGCACATCGTGCAGTTCCTGCTGGAGAGCAAGGCGGACCCCAGTTCCAAGGACAGGTTCGGGGGGACCGCTTTGCAGGACGCGATCAGGCACGGGAAGATGAGCGTGCAGACGTGTCTCAAGGAGCATGGCAGCCGCGTCGTGGGCATCGACACGGCCATTATGATGTGCGAGGCGGCGGGGAGAGGAGATCTCTCTACCATCCAGACGCTCCTCAGCAACGGGGTGAACCCCAACTTGCCCGACTACGACGGGAGAACGGCCCTGCACCTGGCGGCCTCCAACAACGCCATCCAGGTGCTCGACTTCCTCCTCCACTTTGAGCCCAAGGTCGATCCCAACCCGATCGACATCACAGGAGGAACTCCCCTGGATGACGCCATCCGCCATGGCAACGAGGTCGCAGCGAAGATGCTGGAGCTTGCGGGGGGGCTGACCAAGGATGACGAGAGACTGGCGGAGCTTATCCTGTACCAGAAGGCAGAGAACGAGCGGCAGATGAAGGCGATTCGAGACCCTCAGGTTCTCTTCGATAAGGCTCAGAGCAGGGAGAGCAAGTTCTGGCAGGCGTTCGAAGAGTTCGTGACCGTCATGTCCAGCCCGATGAAGAAGTTGGAGGATGCAGATGCTGCACAGGACGGCAACCAGGAGGACGAGGAGGAGGCGCTGGCAGTGAGTGGGGATGGGGACAGGATGAAGCAGAAGTTTGCGGTTTTCGAGAAGAGCATCGCCGAGCTGGTGCAGAGCATGAAGAAAGTTGTCAAAGTAGTCAACGAGTGCCTTGGAAAGAGCAATGAGACAGCCCAGCAAGCCTTCAACGCCTCGTTCAAGAAAGATCTCCTGGCAATCGAAAACGTCACATCAACGTGAGTAGAAGGAGGAGGAGGAGGAGGAGGAGGAGGAGGAGGAGGAGGAGGAGGAGGAGGAGGAGGAGGAGGAGGAGGAGGAGGAAGAAAATGAGTTGTGCTGCTGCCGCTGTCAGCTTTGTTGGATTCTTGACCTCTCTGCTCAGACCCGAGAAGAAGGAAGGAAGGAATGCGAGGAGACGTCAAAGCGTCGTGGTTGACAACCGTTTCGGCATCGACCCAAAGATACAAGGCCTCAGGGTATGGAACATCCTCCTTCTGCCCCTTCTTGCCCCCCCCTTCGTCCTCCTCCTCCTCCTCCTCCTCCTCCTCTTCCTCCTCCCTTCTATCGTTCTCTGCTCCTTTCCCCATCCCCCCCTTGCTCCTGCACAGCTTTCTCCTTGCCTCCCTCGATCTCTGCTCGTCTGTCTCCTGACCTTCACGGCATCAGCCTGTCAACATCCTCAACTTCTCCGGAAGCAGAGACATCTCAGTCACCATCCTCTGCGGGCGACATCTCCCCAAGATGGACGCTATGGTAGAACATCCGGGGGTTGAGCTCAACCGTGACTTCCTGAGCAGGGAGGTTGTGATACGTACTGCGTACTGGAGTTCGGAAACAACAAGTTTCAGGTGACCCAATCTCCTCCTCCTCCTCCTCCGTGCTTTCCTCCCTCTCTCCTCTTCCTTCCCCTTTCTCCTTCTCTCTTCTCTTCACTCTCGTCTCATCAAACTGTTTGCAGACGTCAGTCATCAAGAACTCCTACTCCCCTGATTGGTAAGAGACTTTTCTTCCTCTCTCTCTTCCATCCTTCCCTTTCCCATCCCTCCTCTTCCTCTCCCCTCCACTCTCCTCTTCTGCTCTGCTCTGCTCTGCTCTGCTCTCCCCTCATCTCCTCCGCTCTGCTCTCCTCTGCTCGCCTCTGCTCTCTCTCTCTTCCCCTCCTCACGGCTCTCCCCGTAGGAACGAGACCTTCCAGATCTCGATCCCTGAGATCACCCAGTGCGTCTCTCTCTTCAAGGTATGGGCTAGCAGGGGATCAGCTGGGGTCGTTGACCAGCTCTTTCCCAGCTGCACATCTACGACTGGAACCGTTTCAGCTCCCCCGACTACATTGGAGAGGCTTCGCTTCCGCCCGACATAATGAGCAGAATCCTGCGAGCTGAGTCAAAGTGGAAGGGTAAGGGCCAGCTGAAGGTGAGCTGGGAGAGAGGAAGCAGGAGGGGAGAGTAGAGAACAGTAGGAGAGGAGGGAGAGAGCAAGGAGGAGGGCGAGAGGAGTTTGACCAGCTCGGCAGGTCACCAACGGGATTCCAATCGTCGGTAACGATGGGCAGGAGACAGAAATTTTCATCGAGGTGGGAAGAATAGAGGTCAAGGAAAAGAGGAGAGGATGGGGGCGGCAAGGATGAGGACAAGGATGAGGACGAGGACGAGGACGAGGACGAGGACGAGGACGAGGACATTGAGGAGGAGGAGGAGGAGGAGGAGGAGGAGGAGGAGGAGGAGGAGGAGGAGGAGGACGCGGCATGACGGGTTCTCTTGGTCAGATTGGAGTTGGAGCCCTCACTGAGGAGCAAGAGAAGCAGCACACGAGCGATATGTACACTTCGCAAGATCGCAGCGATGGTGAGATGGAGTGA